CTATGGTTTAAAACAATCCCCACGTGCATGGTTCGGGCGATTTTCAAAGGCTGTTTGTAAACAAGGATATACCCAAGCTCAAACTGACCATACAATGTTCTATAGGCACTCTCAAGGTAAGATCATCATCCTCATTGTTTATGTCGATGATATTATTGTCACAGGTGACCATCATGAAGAAATAGAGAGACTAAAACAGGCACTTGGAAAGGAGTTCGAAATAAAAGACCTGGGAACACTTCGGTATTTTCTAGGGATGGAAGTTGCTAGGARCARAACTGGTATATCTGTGTGTCAAAKAAAATATGTAYTAGACCTCTTGAAGGAAAYCGGAATGCTTGGATGTAAACCATYTGATACTCCAATAAGTCYCAATCATAAGTTGGGAGAGAGCCTAGATGRGGTACYCGTTGATAAAGGGAGATATCAGCGTCTTGTTGGAAGRTTAATCTATTTATCCCACACTAGGCCGGATATTGCATTTGCAGTGAGTGTTGTAAGTCAATACATGCATGCTCCTACTGAAGAACACATGGAAGCCGTGTATCATATTCTTAGATATCTTAAAGGAACTTCAGGGCTTGGATTATTTTTCTGAAAGGATGATGACAGAACGATTAAGGTGTTTACAGATGCTGATTGGGCATGTTCTATTCAAGATAGGAGATCTACAACAGGATATTGTACCTTCGTATGGGGTAATCTTGTTACATGGAGGAGTAAGAAACAATCAGTTGTTGCAAGAAGTAGTGCTGAGGCTGAATTCAGGGCATTATCTCATGGTATTTGTGAGATAATGTGGCTGAAACTCCTCCTCCAAGAACTCAAGATCAGGTTTGATAGTTCAATGGAAGTCTATTGTGACAACAAGGCTGCAATTGCTATTGCACACAATCCAGTGCATCATGATCGTACTAAACATGTTGAGGTTGACAGGCATTTTATCAAGGAGAAGATTGAAGAGAAAATTATAAATCTGATGTATGTTCCATCATCAGATCAAGTTGCAGATATCCTAACAAAAGGACTCTTGAGACCCGTATTTGAAAGGTTGTTGATCAAGTTGAAACTGTTCAATCTGTATAGTCCAGCTTGAGGGGGAGTGTTGAATTAGTTAGAAGTTAAGATTATGTGGACTTAGTTAGAAGTTGTTTTAAAGTTGTTTAGATTTTGTATTTAAATTTAGCAAATAAATCTCCTTTTTTGTTAGGGAAGTTAGGAGGTTATTCCTAGATTCTGTTTCCTCTTGTAACCTATAAATAGTGCCTCTATTCCTCATCTTTGATTAATCAATTTGAGAATTTATTTCTTCTCTTTTCTCGGTATGTCTCTCTGGTGTCTCTATCCTTAGTTTTTAGTTGTACATTGCTAATTTCCAATATTCTTAAACATGTCATATCTGTAAACAACTTGGCCTTCAATATTAATTCCTTCTGCATCTCCTCCAAGTTCAAAACTATGCCTTCAGTGTATTTTAATCCCTGGCATTTGAAATGCACGTAGAAAATTTTTTTAGAGATATTATAATAAAGAAGAAAGAAAGGGTATAAATACATGATGATGTTAATTACATGTTTTATAGTAAACGCACGAACAACATCTTCTTGAAGCCAAATCCTGCTTTGTTTACCCAATTGAGTTAGGGACTCCTTACGCACAATTTCTTGACCTAAAGCCACTATCAAGTCGTGCATCGATATCTTCGAATGTGAAACTTCAATTAGACATTTTTCTGTAAACAATTGTAATTCACTGTGGGGATTATAACCAAAACTCTCAAGTATTTTAATCACTTTATCTATCCTCCTTCCGTTGAAGAAACATGCCAAATCTAGAAAAACTTTCTGACTTTCTGCTCCTAACCCATCATAACTTATCTTTAGTACTTCAAACAAATGTTTTTCATCAACTTTAATGAGCCTATTAAATGTTTCCTTCCATATTACCCCATTCTTTTTATTCAAATAAGATCCAATTACTTTCAAAGCTAATGGAAGTCTTCCAAGCTTTTCTACCATCTCCCTACTGAGATTCGTGAAATTGCTATCAATGTTGTCAATTCCAAAGGCACGATTGCAGAAGAGTTTGAGGGCACTGTCAGCATCTAGTAACTTCACCTTGTACTCTATAATTTCATAGGGTTGATTGAAAATATTATTGCTTCTAGTTGTAATGATAATTCTACTCCCTGGACCAAACCAATCGGGACTTCCAGCCAGCATTTCTAGTTGCTCTTTTTCTTCAACCCCATCAAGAACAAGAAGAACTTTTCTACTGCATAGTTGATTCTCAATCATTTCCGCTCCATAATCTTCATCCCATATTCTAACATTTTCTTTTAAAAAAAGTCTGGATAGTAGTTGTTCTTGAAGTGACACTAAATTACATTGCTTAGGACTACCTCCAAAAACACGAAGAAAACAACTGCCCTCAAATTTAGATGTGATGCAGTCATAAACGACTTTAGCAATGGTTGTTTTACCGATGCCACCCATCCCAACTATCCCAACAAAGCGTACGTCATCCAATCCTAAACCAAGTTGCACATTCATTTTTAGCAACTGATGAGTCATTCCAACTAAATTCTTGTCTGAAGTTACTATCCTAGGGCGCCATGTTTCAAATATCTGGTTAGTGATTTCTTGACAACATCTACTTCAGAGCTGCATACCAAAAGGCAGAGTACATCAAAGTTAAACGTCAATATTGGGAGATGGAAAACAAATATTATATTATATAGATAAAATTACAAATTTAGCCTCTAAACTTTCGAGATTGTGTCAAATAGGTCCTTTAACTTTATAAAATATCACTAAACTTTCAAGTTGATGGCTAAATTCGTCATAGCCACATAATCTTTAAACAGTGCTGCCGCCAGCCAGTATGCCATAAGCACTAAACTAATGGAGTTAACCGAAGGGGCCTATTTGACAAAAAATTGAAAGTTCAAGGACACATTCATGAAAGTTTAGGGAATTTAACATATTTTATAATGTCAAATTGTTGTATAGAAGACTCATTACGCAACTGCTAAAAGAGGATTCATCCATGAGTTCAATCTTTACCTGTGTTGTGTAACAACTTCTCCCGCGAGGTTGCCAATTTTTGTCATGGAATCCTTCCAATTTCGAACCTCCTTCCAGTATTCCTCTTTTTGCTGGCCTGTGAACTTTTGAGCCTTCTCTTCATGTTCATCAAAGCTTTTTCTGAAATTTCCAGACTGGTGTCGAACATGGGAAGGATCCACATGGTAAAACACAGGAAGAACTCGATGTGTCGTCTCAGACATACAATCCATTATCTTGGCTAACTCTTTCAAGCACCACTTGGAAGAAGCATAATCTTTCGATAGAACCACGATTGAAGACCTGGATTCTTCAATTGCTTTCACAAGCTTTTCACTAAGATCGTCCCCGATTAAGAGCTTCTTATCGTCCATAAAAGTCATTATTCCCAATTGACGCAAGTCCTCGTACAAAAATCCGACGAAATTGTTGCGAGTGTCTTCTCCTCTGAAACTTATGAAAACATCATAAGTCATTCGAGGACGATTAGGAGGAGCTGTTGAGGGAACCTCCATTGTTGAAGAGAACAGAGCCTGAAAATTGAAAGGAAAAAGAAATATTAGAGAGAAAACTAACGAAAGTCGTCTTTGCCTTGTCTTGTTTATTATGGGTCGTGAGTCTTGAAAGTCAACCTTTTTTTTTTTAAGTACAAGTTGAGAGTCAATTTTTTTTTTTTTTTTGATAAAAATTGAAAGCAGCCTAGATTTTAAATGTCGATCTCGATAGAAATATTGAGGTCTCAATTTCATGAAAATATAGATAAAATGTTGATATCGATAAATATTTTTGTAAAAGTTATAGAAATTAAAATTTTTAAAAAATATTTAAATTAACAAATAAATATTTTCATATTTCTAAATAAGTTAAAAAATAATTAATATTAATATTATGCCTATATTAGTGCTATTTTTGTTGATATTTTTCATATTTTGTCGATTTTTTATACTATGATGGAAATATCAATTTATCCTTCATGTCGATATTGGACCCATGAAAATATGGATATGTAGATGAAAATGTCGACGTGTCGACTAATATTTAGAATCATGGAGTCCACTATAATTCATGACGTTTGGATAAAAAATATTTATGAAATAAGGACATATATAGTAATTTAGAGAGAAAAAAATTTTGAAATATGACACAATTTTTAAGCTCAAATTAGTGATAAAAGTAAACGTAGTATATTAGTAATAGAATTCTATTATAGATAAACTAAAAATTGTATACTAAGGATGATACATAGGGTAAGAATGAAATTACAAAAAAAAAATGTTTAAATAAACACATGAAAAATTTTGAAAATAACATTTTTTAAATTAATTGCTGATAAATTTGTGAATATGGTACCACCTATTATAATTTAAAATATTTGACTTTCCATTGAATTAAAAAATATATTATAATTTTTATTTCTGAAAAGAAATATATTATCATTTTAATAGCATAATTCGAAAAACTTATTTTGCAAATATTATTTTTTTAATAAGTCAGGCTAAAGAGTCAATTTCACTCCTTGAAAAGCAAACAATCGCCTCTTTGACAAGCGATTTTGCCCCTTTCATTTAAATCAATTTATGACCAATGTATGTGTATTTTTCAATAAAATAAATTTGACTATGTGTTTTATTTTAAAAAATTAAAATTAATTTATGTATTTTTAATTTGAATATACATGTCAATATTTTATCAAATTTTAAGCCTTCATAAAATTCGAAATTACAAAAAAAAAAACCATAATTTAACTAAAACTAAAATACACAAAATTTAACCATGAAAATAATAATCTTAAGATAACAATAGCGAAAACATCAATGTGGTGGAGTAGTGATTTTGTAAAAATAGAGGTGCCTCGTACCAACTTTGAGACACTAAACAATTATACTATCTTATATTTAAAATAATAATAATAAATTTGAATGACTAGTGGTCTCTGCACTAAATTTAGAAACCTCGAAAATAAAAAATAAATTTGTGAGAAAAATATAAGTAATAATAATAATAATAAATTTGAATGACTAGTGGTATGCTGCACTAAATTTAGAAACCTCAAAAATAAAAAATAAATTTGTGAGAAAAATATAAGTACACAAAAGAAATTAGAACCCAAATTGTTATAGAAAATGGATAGATGAGAGTTATTTTATAGTTATATGCGATGAAAGAGTGACAAGCTTTTGAAATTCCATGAATTTTGATATTTTATAATAAATTGTAATAGCTCTTGAATCAATTTAGTTGAAGAAAAATAAAATTTTTTATATTAAATGACACTTTATAATTTAAATTAAATATATAAATTATTAATTATTAATAATCAATGGTATGTGATTTACTTTTTTTTTTTTTGCCAATTATGTTCCTTCCTTGATTTCTTAATTTACAAAGTTTATCATTACAGTTAATTATAAATAGGGAATTAATAATTAATTAATTATCAATAGTTAACATATGTAACATATTACATTATAAAAAGTTTGGAGAAAAGTTTTCTCCATTTAAAGATTTTTTCCTTTAATTATAATTTATTATAGAACTTTTAAAATTTCAAAATTTTTTTTGTAACTTTACAACATTTAACCCCATAAAAATGAAGTTTCTTTCGCCATGAACACTTTGAGATCTTCAATTTTGAAAGCGTCTCAAGATGTCGAAATGTATATTTTGAATCTCAAGCTTGAGATGTCATAGGGGTTTTTTTATAATAATGATCAAGTGAGCAAATGTATTTTAAGGGATAGGCGTATAACTATTTTTTAGCAGCCATAAATTTATAAATATTCGGAAAAGTAAGCTTTTTTTCCCACCAAAATAGTGCCCGAAGCAATTTATGACAGTTTTTTTCAACCTTTTTTACCATTCACGACTGTCATTGAATCTCATATTTGTACTAGTGGAGGGTCTTGGATTTTTCTTTTTTGTTAATGTTGGAGAGAGAAAATTGCATGTCACGTGGAGGACTGAGAAAGCTCTAGATGAGCCAGGTCACACCCAAAGAACCATCCCAGACAGGTCCGAACTATCATACTTAGTCGCAAGACGCTGCAGAGTTGTCTTGCAGCAACAGGACCTTCGAGTAGGTCCGATCTCAGGCACCCGACACATCTGACCTTCGAACCAACACACATAACTACCTGTCGGACCCCTAACTTATAAATAGAGAGTCTCACTCCAACATCAGGTATCGAATTCTATCTCGAACTCCCTACTAAATCCGAGCTTAAACTGACTTGAGCCTCAAAGTGTTATTCAAAACAAATGTATATTCAATAAACTCCCTACTAAGTCCGAGCTTAAAAACAAATGTATATTCAATAAAGTTTTATTCAATAAATTTGTTGTTGAATTCATAGCATTGAATTGTCCAAAATCCAATAAACTAAACATCCGAGGTTATTTTAGTGTAACCGGGACAATATATGTACTGGGTATATATTTAATATACTGGGTATATAATTGATATACCCTTGATATACAAGTGGATAATGTCTCGTGAATAACCTAAAGGGTCTATAGTATATGGATAAGGCTGGGTACCTTATCCTGACAACACTATGGATACGGCCCACTCCGTAAAGGTTACAGACGATTCGATTCAGGTCGTTCGTGTGGAGACATGCGAGTGGGGGTATCCTATACAATGAGTTTATATAAGACCGGACCACGAAATAGCCAACCTTTAGATGTAATACCGTTAACTAATAGATTGCTGTTTCTTAGGATGACCAGACAACTCATTCTCAATCCTGAGTGAGTTATGGACTCCTGCTCGTGAGGGCTCGTCCTTTGATCTGTATAGGTGAGAGTGGCCCGAGTCGCCGACTCAACATTCCTACCATTTTGAGGACAAGATCGAGTGGGGAGCTGGGAACATAACTTCACGAGATGGAATTCATTCCTCCCCGACTTTAGGGAAGTAGACGAGTGTTCTCTTAAATGCTGACTCCAGGACTTGAACAAGGGACTCCACCCTCTCATTGGCCCAAGAGGGACTTCCAGTTATTGGTCGGACCATAACCGAGTTGTTCATTAGAGGAGCAGTGGTATTTAAGGAGTAAGATGTAACTCAGGGGTAAAACGGTAATTTGACCCANAGAGGAGCAGTGGTATTTAAGGAGTAAGATGTAACTCAGGGGTAAAACGGTAATTTGACCCAACTTGAGTTACGAGCACTCGTGAAGGATTGACTTGTCATTTATGGTCGTATATCTGTGGACACGAAAACATTCTACAGTGAGAAGAGTGCAACTGCGGGTCTTTAGTGGAGTGACCCGTAGTTAACGAATGTTGATTAACTCGGTAAATAAGTTTGACCGATTAATCTTGTATCGTTGGAGCTTCTGATCTGTAGGTCCATTAAGTCCCCTTGCTAGCTCATAACGGGTAAAACGAGGATCAAGTTTTTGGAAGAATTTGAACTGTTCAAATTACTTAAGCGATTATATGTATATTGATACATTATAATATATAGTTAATTCTAAATTAAAACTATATAGTATGAGAGAAATTATTTGAATGAGATTCAAATAAAATTAATATGAATAAGATTTATATTAAAACTATAGGTTAAAAATAATGTGCATAAGATGTACATTAGAACTATAGGTTATACGAGAGAAATGCTATAGAATATAATTCTATTTTTATGATAAATAATTAAGGGTTAATTATTTATTTGATATATATATATATATATATTAATTATTTATTAATAATTAATTAATTAATATGATTGATTAATTAATTAATTAATTATATATATATTAATTATTATTATATATATATTAATTATTAATATTAATATTAATATTTAACTCCCCTGCAAAATTGCAGGCGAATGGGCAGTTGAGTGCGTGGGGTAACTCCTCACGTCACTGCTTTTGTTTTCTTCTTTTGCAATTCTGCAAAAACAGTAGAGAAGAACGAAAGTAGAACTCCAAGAATTTCTCTCAATCAAAGCTCTCTCTCTGAATTCTCCATTTTCTTCCAAACGAGTTGTTCCCACAAGCACGATCCCGGTAGCCAGAGGATAGCAAGGAAGATTCGGTGGTGGTGTTCAAGGGGAAATTGTTGAAGAACAGTTCTTCAAAGGTAAGGAAAAACTAGTTTTCCTTTGTATTTTTCATCTAAGAACATTTTGATTTTGTTTCACAAAAATCATGAACGATGGTCCGCTTCCGCTCCGGGATTCACATCCCTTCAGAAGTTGGAGACCGCAACAGACATCTAGCTAACGGAGGTCATCCCTCTCGTTTTGAAGGTACAAATAGCCGCCAAGAGGGCGATCTGTAAAAGTACCTGAATGAGAATGCACAGAGTGAGAACTCCATCATGAAGGGTGGAAAACTTCCCAGAACGACCTTCGTAGCAGACTCAATAATAAGGCTCAATCCAAGTATATACCTTCCGAGCCTCAATTTTTTATTACCAGGGAAGAGTTCGACCTCATGAAGAGCAAGTTTGATGCTCAGGTCGTGGCCCTGAAGCAAAAGTGTGAGATGAAAGAAAGCATTTTCGATGATGGCGAGCCTAGAGAATCTTCATGCACACAGGATATCTTGGGTGCCCTAATTCCAAGCAAATTAAAGACTATCACCATGAAGCCCTACTACGGATCCAAAAGGACTATGTAGAGGTCTTTGAGGGTCTCATTGACTTCCAAGTAGCAACTGATGCCATTAAGTGTCGTGCCTTCTAGATCGTTCTAACTGGGAGCGCATGACTTTGGTATCGAAAATTACCTGCAAGGTCAATCTTGACCTATGGATAGCTGACGAAGGAGTTCATTAATCAATTCTCTTCTCGGCACTATGACAAAAAAGGCAGCGACTTATCTTGTTATTATCAGGAAAAAAAAAATTAGATGCTGAAAGAATATGTGATACGATTTCAAGAAAAGTAGGTCGGACAAAGCGGAAGTCCAATCAGAAGAAGACCAGCTACCCTGAAAAGGGCAACACCAGTTCAAAACCAAAGGATAGAGGTCCTGCGCCTCAATACTCCCAAGGTTGCTTCGACTACAAACGTTCAGATTTCGGAATGAGCAGAAGCCAGCTTTATAAAAGATAAACTCCCAGCATCATCCCAATCTTGGAGATACTGACCAACATAGAAGAGTCAGGGATGGAGAAGCTGCTCTGGCAAACTCAGAGGAGATCCAGGCAAATGCAATAAGGGGAAGTACTACTGCTTCTACAGAGATCATGGTCACGATACTTCGGATTGTTTCGAGCTCAAGCGCTAGATTGAGGATCTCATTCAAGATGGATATTTCAAAAAGTTTGTCTGAAAGGGTAGCTTTAGTTGATCCTCCAAGAAGAAGGATGAGCGAAGGCATTCTCGAACTCCTCCACGAAGAGGTGATTGGACCTGCGATCATGAACACTATCTTTGGTGGTCTGAGTGGGGGTCATTCCTAAATAAGAGGAAAGAGATAGTAAGGGAGGCCATACACGAAGCCTATGCTTCATAAACCAAAAAATCAAGTTGCCTAATCTCTTTCTCGGATGCCAACCTCGAGGGCGGCCACTTACCCCATAATGACGCCTTAGTCATTTCACTGATGGTAGATCATGTCCAGGTCAGAAGGGTATTGGTTGATGGTAGAGCTTCAACGAATATTTTATCCTTAACAACCTATGTTGGCTTGGGATGGACCATGACGTAGTTGAAGAAGGGTCCGACTCCTTTGGTCAAATTCGTAGGTGAAACCGTCATCTCGGAAGGTTGCATCAAGCTGTAAATTACTATTGGTCATGGAGACATGTAAGTCACAAAAATTGCAATCTTCGTGGTTGTAGATGACAAATCGGCCTACACGATATTTGGCCGACTTGTCATCCACGCTTTGCAAGCCATTCCATCAACCTTACATCAAGCCTTGAAGTACCCAACTCCAAATGGAGTTGGCATAGTCAGAGGAGAGTATAAAACTTTACGAAAATTTTATAAAGCTGCTCTCAAAGATTCAGCCGCGTGTGCGATCTTCTAGCAAGCCGACCTTGAAAAAGCACCTCAACTAGAGCACGTCATTCCTGTGGGAGGACCTAGAGCTTGTTCCCCTGTTTACTCTTGAACGACAGGTCAGCGTAGGCACCAAGTTGGAGGCCACTGTGAAAGGACCGAATCCCACAGCGGAAGCACGTGAACGTTTGTGCTTCGATTTTTGCTTTAGAAATACAATAAAGAAAAAGACAATAACAATGAAAAGAACGAAAGCCTACCTTTGAAGACCATTCTCAACATAGAGATGTCGAACCCGAACGCCACCAAAAAGTCTTCCCCGCTATTCTCTTGGTAAGGACCGATTTGTGGGAACCGTTTTTTTGAAAAAGAGGAAATTTGGTTTAATTAAAGGGAGATCTTTTGAGAGAAATTCATCAACCCCACCAACATTTTATAGGGACGGCACCTCCCCACCCACCACCTTCCCACTTCCTTGCAAAATTCAAGAATGATGCATTATGAATATAATATATATGATCTAGGAAGATGGGAAAACATTGATTCTAGTTAATTGATTTACTGATAGAAAAAGGTTTCATTAGAGAAAGTAATTTAATTTTTCCGAAAGATGAAAATTCTAGACATTTTTCTGATATTCATTATGCTAAAAAATTATCTAATGGCGAAAAACATGATAGAAATTGGCTAGTTTAATTTACTCAAAGAATTTTGATAAAGTATATTGTTTTTGTTGTAAGTTATTTGGTACTAAATCGAATATAGTTCAATTAGGGAATGAAAGAGTTAAAAGATTGGAAAAATCTTAGTTCTCGGCTTAAAAGTCATGAATCGAGTAATGAACACATATTTAATATGAATGCTTGGGTTGATCTAAAACTTAGATTGTTAAAAAATAAAACAATTGACAAAGATATTGAGATATTAATTAATAAAGAAAAAGATCATTGGAATAAAGTATTAACATGAATTATTGTTGTTGTTAAAAATCTTGCTAAAAATAATTTAGCGTTTTAAGGAAGTAATGAAAAATTTTATCAAGAAAATAATGGAAATTTTTTAAGCTTAATTGAAATGATTGCAGAATTTGATCCAATAATACAAAAACATGTTCGTCGTATTCAATATAACGAGATTCATTATCATTATCTTGGACATAATATATAAAATGAACTCATACAACTATTAGGACTTCAAATAAAAAATACAATTATTGAAAAATTAAAGAATCAAAATATTTTTCAGTTATATTAGATTGCACACCTGATGTAAGTCATCAAGAACAAATGTCTCTTGTATTGAGGTGTGTTGATATTGCTACAAGTCCAATAACTATACAAGAATATTTTTTAGAATTTTTAAAAACTGAAGATACTACTGGAAAATGTTTATTTTATGTGTTTATTAAGAATCTTAAACTTGATATATCTAATATAAGAGGATAAGGATATGACATATGAAAGGAAAATAACAAGGTGTATAAAAAAGATTATTAGAAATAAATCTTAGGGCATTTTATACACCTTGCGGTTGTCATAATCTTAATCTGACACTTTCTGATGTGGCTAGCTCATGTCATAGAGCTATGACATTTTTTGGAGTTCTGCAACGTATTTATTCTTTATTTTCTTCATCTACAAACAGTGGCGGATCCAGCATTTTCGTTTAGGGGGGCTTCACACAGTTCAGTAAAAATAATTTACAAGTTAACAAACAATAAGTATAATTTTTATTTATAAGAATTTTTTTTGCAGTTAATTAAAAAATAATTAAAATTTTAAAAATATTTTTATTGATTTCTATTTATGTTTGATATAAAAAATGAAAAAGTAAATTATAATATTATATATTAAGTATTAGATAATTAATATTTCACTTATTTAGACTACAAAATTCAAAAAAAAATAATTTTTCTAAGATGAGACATCACTAGACTACTAAAATTGTGGATTCTAAATATAAATATAAAATTAAAAATTTATATAAAATAATAACGATGGAATATTAAAAAATTAATGACTTACAGAGAATAAAAAGAGATATACGTACAATAATTTATGGTAAAGATATAACTTATATATAAAGGCAATCTATAAATTAAAAATAAAAATAAACCGTGAAATTGTAAACACAATAATTAGACTAAAGAAACAATGAATGTATATATTAAAAGAGAGTCGTATATATTAAATTTTGGTATGCCAAAACTTCTTATTGATTAAAATATTAATAAATAATATACATATTATAAAAGTTAGGGGGGTCGAGCCCCCCCTCGGCCCTACCTAAATCTGCCCTTGTCTACAAAACGATAGAAACTCTTGCTAGATCACATAACCAATTTGACTATCAAACCATTGTCACAAACATGATTAGAAAGTCGAATTGGAAGTGTTAAAGCAATAAGATTTCAAGCCCTTCAAATAAGGGATGCTTAATTGAAATTAGGAGAAATTGGTGAAGATCCAACAAGTAAAAAGTGAAGCTAATTGTTTAGCTTCTTATGATTATATGGTATGATATCTTATTTGCTGTAAATTGAGCAAAGTCTTACAACATAAAGATATGTTTATTAACGTTGCTTTAGATCACTTGAAAGGTTTAATGTCATTTTTAGAAAAATATAGAGAAAATAGATTCACAACTGCTATGATTTCAGCTAAGGAAATTGCAAATGATATGGAAATACAACTTATATTTCGTGAAAAAATAATGATTCGAAGACAAAAACAATTTGATGAGAATACTGATATTGGAAAAACATGATCACCTGAAGATTCTTTAGAATTGATTACTTTTACTATATTATAGATCAAGCAATTTCTTCCCTTAAAAATAGATTTGAACAATTTCAAGTAAATGAAAATATCTTTAATTTCTTATAAGTCATTAGATGATGATAATCTGAAAAGATATTAGAATATATTAGAACACGATACATTTTCTGACATTAACGGTTTAGATTTATTTTTTGAATTAAAAATATTAAGAGAAGTCTTGAAAAATGAAATGGATTGTCCTATTAAAATATTAAATTATATAAAAAAAGGTAAACGTTTTTCCAAACGCATACATTGCTTATAGAATATTATCAACAATACCGATAACAGTAGCTTCCGCAGAAAGAATTTTTTCAAAATTAAAAATTAATCAAATCGTATTTAAGGTAAACTATGTCATAAGAAAGATTAAATGGATTGGACATATTGTCAATTGAAAAGGACATATTAATGAACTTAGATTATCAAAATTTCTTATACGATATTTTCTATATTAAGGCCTTCCTATCAAAGTTTTGTCTAAGGCCCCATATTATCTCGAGTCGCCCTTGCTTGGTATAAGATATATTAGTTATGTTGCCCGATTTACGAACAAACTACAGAAAAGCCCAGCAAACCAACCTAGATAAACCTAAGCCATTGGGCTTAGAAATGATCTAAAATGTCGAGCCCTAAGACATAAACCGTACGAATTGTGTGTGGGCCACACAAAGTCTCAAGTATGTGGATGCTTACCTAATTGTGTGTGGGTCACACAAAGTCTCAAGTATGTGGATGCTGGCCTAGGGGTTGAGTTGGGAAATTAGCCATCGGGTCGAACCTTATGGGTTGACCATCATGGGCCCACAAACTCGAGCCAACCAGCACATGGGGTTGAGCCTATGGGCCAACTAGTCCTAAAGGTCGTTCCCATGGTCCCATTTTTATGAGACAAAGCCCTACGCTAGTATGCTCTCTCGATCATTTTGAAGACCAATCAAGACATCAAACCCCGGTCCCTCGAATTTTGAGAATTCAAAACAAAAAGATATCTAGAAGATCTTAAATTTTCTTCCTTTATAAATAATGAAAAGTCTCATAATTGAGGTACAGAACCTTAATTACTCTTCATACAAATCTAATTTGTGAGACAAAGTCCTGGATGTATTCATATCGTTGATATCGAATTAGATTGATAAAAAAATATTTTTAGATTAGAAAATTAGATATTCTAGATCCAAGTTGTTACATAAGCTTCAACTACTTACCTTAAAAAAATAGTTTTTCTATTTCTTTTTTAAAAAATACAATTAGAATTAATTATTCTTTTGATTTATGAGGCTGAATATTACATATTTTAAATTTAAATATTTCACACGCACACATATATAACAGTTTAATAGTTAATCGTAAATACAGTAACTACTTTTCTAATTTGCAAATATAGTAAAAAATTAGACGCCCAATCCTAATGAAAAAATAGAAAAGTAGATTATACCATTTTTCATTGATAAGTATATCAATGATACATTAAGTGTGAATCATATATTTGATTATAGATATATTAGTTATTTTGCCCGATTTACGAACAATCTACAGAAAATTCCAGCAAATTAGCCTAGATCAACCTGAGCCTTTGGGTTTAGAAATGATCTAAAAGGTCGAGCCCCAAGACATAAACCATACGAATTGTGTGTGCAGGCCGCACAGAATCTCAAGTATGTGAATGCTAATATTGGAAATGAAATGACAAAATTGGAACCAGGAGCTAAAATTGTTATGTCGTGGGTGAAACCACTGCCTTGAAAGCAAAATCGGCACGACCTCGGTGTTAAATTGTTTTACTGCCGGTATGCTCCCAAAGGTTAACACAACCTCCAACTCAGACGTGTAGTCGTCGGAATAGGAGCGGAATCAATCTCGTGCTCAGTTTAAGGTAGTGGAGAAAAGTGGAAAATTGAAGAACAATGTAAGGGAGAGTGGAGGTGGAGGACTTGAATGAATGGGATGATAAAAAATGGTAGGGAATTCCAGCAAATCAGCCTAGATCAACCTAAACCTTTGGGTTTAGAAATGATCTAAAAGGTCGAGCTCTAAGACATAAACCATACGAATTGTGTGTGTAGGCCGCACAGATCTCAAGTATGCAGATGCTGATATTGGAAATAAAAGGACAAAATTGGAACTAGGAGCTAAAATTGTTGTGTTGTGGGCGAAACCACTACCTTGAAAGCAAAATCGGCACGACCTTGGTGCTAAATCGTTTTACTATTGGTATGCTCCTCAAGGTTAACACAACCTCCAACTCAGACGTGCAGTCGTCGGAATGGGAGTGGAATCAATCTCGTGCTCAGTTTATAATAGTGGAGGGAAGTGAACAATTGAAGAACAGTGTAAGGGAGAGTGAAGGTGGAGAACTTGAATGAATGAGATGATCGAAAATGGTAGGGAATTGCCCTTATTTATACTAATGCAGTGACCCAAAAATAGAACTTGAATTTTTAAAAATTAAAAATCCAAAAAATGTTTGGCCACCCACGTGTCCTTGAAAGACCACTTCCTTCTCTACACCTACCACTTGTATCTAGACTTCCACGACCAAATTTTCATCCATCCACATATCCTTGAACTTCTCCAATTCATTTGTCATTTCCAACAATCCCTCGCGAATGACAGTATAGTAAAAAGAAGTAAGAAGAAGGATTTTCTGAGTAAAGGATAAAAACTAAGTATTAATATCTTTCGATTTGAATTAATGCATAGTGAAGTAGGTAAACAACTTAAGTAATGAAAGTGAGTTACCTCTTGAACTTCCAGCCATTTATAGTTGAGACCCCACAACACATTTGAATCCTCGAGTTTGATTCCGCGATAGTTGTTAAGTACTTTTAGTGGCCATGTACATACACCTTGGGTCATCGTGAAAGCTCTAGAAAGAGGCTCCACAACTCTTTCATAAAAAGTGGTCTCACCTTCACAGTCACGTCACTTCATCAAGTCTATCATAGATAAACCACTAAAAAAATTGAGCTACGAAGACTTTGAATATTATCTATCAAGTCCACGCATGGACTGATGGAGAAAATACATACATGCGCAGCGGAAGTGAACAAGAATCGAAATAACAATCTAGATGCATAATACAACCTAGGATTAAACATACATGATCATACATTATGATGCTTAGAGATAAGTAGAGAAAAATACAAACCTTTGTAGCTTTTCAAAAATCTTCAAATAGCTCC